ACAAGAGACATGAGCTTCATTTGGGACAGGGAGCTTCTAAGCCAGGGTAGCGACTGCACCTGCCATCGTCAGGATTAAACGGTGTGAAATGCGTTAAATGCTTGGAATGCTGCTTAGCACCACGGTACTGTCCCTGCACATGCTTGTCCCAAGACAATGAAACAAACCATTATAGCTGGTGGGTTTTGGAGGCAAGAAGGTTGTAGAGTCCTATATGAGGACATCATCAGTGAGCCTGAAACCTTGCAGAAATCTTAGCTTGTCATCTCTGGGCAAGCTAGAAGATTTAACTCATTTCTGAGATGCTAATTCCTCTTTCACTTTTTCTCCTTATTATCTCCCCCCAAGCAGGAAGGACTAGAGAAATCATCAGAATTCTCTCCCAGAAGAGACACCACACAGACCCCACTGCAGCCTCTAAGCCATCTTGCCTCAGCTTCTTGGCTAAGGCAGGAGAACTGACCTGCTTATTGACAGCGCCCCACTGTGGTCAGACATGGATTGGGAAAATGCCACCATCTCCATCTGTTCCTGTGAAAAGTCCAGACTCATTTACCTAGTTTGCTTTTTTATCTCCATAGAAGAAACAGGACATGCGGGAGCTCCAGGAATGTGGCAGGCGCAATTGTGTCCAAAGGATGCTTTCTAATGATGAGGGGAAAAGTGAATTTTCTTCTTCCTGCTCTAGTCACCTCGCCTGAAACCCCTCAGCTGGGATCTGGATTCAGCGTGGTCCCTCTCTGGCCTCTCTGCTACATTTTATTCTCCCGAAGATCTTGCACCATCACTCCACATAATGCAACAATTCCCATATGGCTAAATAAGAAAAAAAAGGGGGGTTACATTCTTACAAATGCATAAGTACACCACCATCCCAGCTTAGGGGCACGTTGTCCCTGGACAGAATCTTTTGTCCAAAGACAAAAAAAAAAACTTCCTGTTCAAAGATACTCTGCCCATTTTCTTTGCCCGAGACATTTTTGAATCTTACATGTATACCTGGGTTAAAGATCATTTTGCTTTCTTAGTGTCATCTTGAACATGTCCCAGCGCAAAGGCCCCTGAAGCAAAGAAATCAGTGGTTTGGCCTTGTGTGTTTCATTTTACCATTTCTAGTTACTTTTCCAAAGTCATTGCTTTGTAGATATGTTTTTCGGCACATTAATCAGCGTGTGGAGTCTTCCTCATAAATTCTTTGCCTAGGAAAAACAAGCACCGCGTGTACTCACCATCACGTTGGTATTAACTGATGAGCACGTAAGTGCACATATAGTAGTAACATTCATCTGGTGTCGGGCAGGTGGGAGGGGGGAGAAGGGGATGGGTACATTCACACCTAATGGGTGCGGTGCGCACCGTCAGGGGGATGGGTGCGCTTGAAGTTCTGACTTGGGTGGGGTAAAGGCAATATATGTAACCTAAACATTTGTACCCCTGTACTATGCTGAAATAAAAAAGAATTATTAAAAAAATAAAAAAAATAAATGTGTGGGTGACTTTGTTATCAGAGGGTATTTCCAAAAAGATTTTAAACAGCAAAATGACCATCAATGTTAAAATACCAGGCAAGAGTCACCATCATTTATTTGAAGAAATTTCAGGTGTGGTTTTTGGGTTGTGGTCAAAGTCTTGTGGCCTGTTCTGCTTAACCAGCTCAAATGTCTCTTCCACATGGCAACAATGTAAACATTATATGATCCACGGCACCTGCTGGCTTTGAAATGATGTGATTCCTTTTGAAAAGGAGAGTTTAGGGACACTTACATGGGTTTCAAACGTGTGCACAAAGTGCAACTTTTTATATTGCGTGATTTTAAATTTATACAATTAAAACTTGCACGAGGCTAAGCATGATGGCTCACACCTGTAATCCTAGCTCTTTGGGAGGCGGAGATGGGAGGATTGCTTGAATTGGAGACTAGCCTGAGCAAGAGCAAGATCTCATCTCTACCAAAAATACAAAACTTAGCTGGGCATGGTAGCACAAGCCTGTAGTCCCAGCTACTCAGGGGGCTGAGGCAAGAGGAACACCTGAGCCCAGGAGTTTGAGGCGGCACTGCACTCCAGCCTTGGAAACAGAGTGAGACCCTGTCTCAAAAAACCAAAGCAGAACAAAACAAAACAATTCGCATGAAATGCAAACTTCCTGGACAGTTGACAAATCTTGTGCTTAATTCCCATTCGTGTTGCTATTGCTGTCTGGTCCAAGACAGTTGCAAAAAGACAGAATAAATAATACCGCAGGTTCAGATTCAGTCTTCTCTATCAAACATTTTTCCTTCCTCCCCACGTGAAGGCTGCCTTCTTTCTTCCCTCCTCCTCTCATTCCTTTGCATTCTTTTCAAGAACCAGCCTGGCTCCTACTTCTTCAAAACCCTTTTCTTATTCCGGCTCTCAAGGTAAATCCATCCTTTTTACTCAATTTATTAAGGACTGCGCAACATGACTCACCCCACATGCGCTGTGCTGTTTCACAAACGGTGTTACGTGTGCTCGTACCTCATGCCTCCCTGGATTATAAACTTCTTGAAGGCAAGGACGGAGATGACCAATTAAATTTTCCTTTCTGCCACTTAATCATTATTTCTCAAGCTCTACACTGTTGAGGCTTTGGGCTGGAAGGTTCCTTGTTTGTAAGGGGCTGGTCTTTGCACTGGAGGACATTGAACAGCACCCCTAGCCTCCACCCACTAGATGGCAGTAGTACCCTACCCCTGAGTCTTGACAGCCAAAAAAATGTCCCCGGACGTTGCTGAATATTCCCCTGAGGGTTCCCAAATCACCCCTCTTTGAGAACCACCTCTTTAAATATCTTTTTTGGTTCCAAAGACATTAAACATTGCATCTAGAAGCAAATCGAAATGACGACAATATGGATTGTGTTTTATTTCAACACAGCTTGGAAAGTCAGATCCGGCACTCTCAGACATGAGCCTCACACCACCAACCCTGTGGCCGTCCACTCCAGCTAGATAAGGTTATATTATAAATTTACTAGAACCTAAGAAAATAGGATGTTTAACCCTCACCACCTAGGAGAAAGGTTGTCCTCTGTTTACAGAAAAGAAGCCAAACTCTGTAAAATAATTTAAAGAGGTTTATTCTGAGCCAAATTTGAGGACCATGACCTGGAGCCACACCCAGATAGCCTTGAGCAAGTGGACTCGTAGTGGTGGGGTCACAGTTTGGTCTTACACATTTCGGGGAGACAGGAATTATTTATTTAAATTTATTGGTCATCTATTGACCCAGGCAGCGCGTTGGCCATAATGAATGAAAACAAACACAGAATACAGAGACCGTTATTAATAAAAATACCACATTTTATTTATTAAGCATTCAACAACCAATAACAGTGTTTATGCCATAAGTTTCTATTCTAGTTTTTTTTTTCCATTATATTTTCTTACCTCTACCAACACTGTAGGATATCAGGTCTCAGAGCAGTTCAAAGACAACACGGATGGAACTGGAGATCATTATCTTAAGTGAAACACGCTGGACATAGACAGATATCCCATGTTCTCACTCACAAGTCGGTGCTAAAAAATGTGTATAGGCCGGGCACAGTGGCTCACGCCTGTAATCCTAGCTCTCTGGGAGGCCGAGGCGGGCGGATTGTTTGAGCTCAGGAGTTCGAGACCAGCCTGAGCAAGAGCAAGACCCCGTCTCTACTAAAATTAGAAAGAAATTAATTGGACAACTAAAAATATATAGAAAAAATTAGCCGGGCATGGTGGCGCATGCCTGTAGTCCCAGCTACTCGGGAGGCTGAGGCAGGAGGATCGCTTGAGCCCAGGAGTTTGAGGTTGCTGTGAGCTAGGATGACGCCACGGCACTCTAGCCTGGGCAACAGAGTGAGACTCTGTCTCAAAAAAAAAAAAATGTGTATACACATGGATGTAGAGTGTGGAATGACAGACAAAGGAGATTGGAAGGGCGAGGGGAGGGAGGGGGACGGAGCATGAGAAATTACTTAACGGGTAGAGTGTACATTATTCAGGTGATGGACACCCTAAAACCTCTAACTGGACCATTATGCAATCTATGCATTAGCAAAATTGCACTTGTACCCCATAAATTTATACACATTAAAAAAGGGCAAAAGTAAGTATGAAAAAAAAAAAGCAAAGAAAACTCAAGGTAGAATTCAGTTATTACTTAGTTCCTCGTAATTGAAAGACAAGGTTAAATGTTAGCAACTTACGTTCATATTATACAATTTTAATCCCTGAAAATGGGGATTGGGTCTGGTCCCACCAACCGACAAATGCATTTTGCGATGCTATTATTGTTTTTCCCCATTTTTCTTGCTCAAAATTTTTGACCCGATCCATCTGTAGTTATTACTGCCACTTTGCAGTTCGCTATGAACTAATCCCTGGACCGATGGTTTTCGACTGGGGGGAATTTTGGTTCCCTGGAGGCATCTTTGGTTGCCATGACTGGTGGGAGATGTTGCCGGCATCCAGGGAGGAGATAGCAGAGATGTAGCTAAACATCCTCCAATGCAAAGACCAGCCCCTTACAAACAAGGAAACTTCCAGCCCAAAGCATCAACAGTGCAGAGCTTGAGTAATAATGATTAAGTGGCGGAAAGAACATCTAATTGGTCATCTCCATCCTTGCCGTCAAGAAGTTTATAATCCAGGGAGGCATGATGTACGAGCACACGTAACACCGTCTGTGAAACAGCACAGCGCATGTGGGGTGAGTCATGTTGCGCAGTCCTTAATAAACTGAGTAAAAAGGATGGATTTACCTTGAGAGCCTGAACAAGAAAAGGGTTTTGAAGGAAGTAGAAGCCAGGCTGGTTCTTGAAAAGAATGCAAAGGAATGGGAGGAGGAGGGAAGAAAGAAGGCAGCTTTCATGTGAGGACAAATGAAAATGGTTCGATAGAGAAGACTGAATCCAAACCTGCAGTATTATTTACTCTGTCTTTTTGCAACTGCCTTGGACCAGACAGCAATAGCAACACAAATGGCAGTTAAGCACAGGATTTGTCAACTGTCCAGGAAGTTTGCATTTCATGCAAATTTTGTTCTGTTTTTTTGAGACAGGGTCTCACTCTGTCGCCCAGGCTTGAGTGCAGTGGTGTCCTCACAGCTCACTGCAGCCTCAAACTCCTGGGCTCCAGCGATCCTCCTTCTTCTGCCTCCCAAGTAGCTGGAACTACAGGTGTGCACCACCGTGCCTGGCTAATTTTTCTGATTTTTGTAGAGACAGGGTCTCCCTCTTGCTCAGGCTGGTCTCGAACTCCTGAGCTCATGCGATCCTCCCACCTTGGCCTCCCAAATTGCTAGGATTACAGGTGTGAGCCACCTCGCCAGGCTTGATGCAAATTTTAATTGTGCAGATTTTAAATTATGCAATATGAAAAGTCGCACCTCGTGCACACGTTTCAAAACCATGTGAATATCTCTAAACTCTTGCTTTTCAAAAGGAATCACATCAAGTTTCAAAGCCAGCAGGTGGTGTGGATCTTACACTCTTTACATTGTTGCCATGTGGAAGAGACATTTGAGCTGATTAAGCAGAACAGGCCACAATTCTTTGTCCATGACTCAAAAACTACACCCGAAATTTCTTCAAATAAATGATGATAACTCTTGCCTGCTACTTTAATATTGATGGTCATTTTGTCCTTTAAAAATCTCTTTGGAAATATCCTCTGGGAACAAAGTCACCCACACATTTTTTTAATGTGCTGAAAATCACATCTACAAACCAATAGCTTTGGAAAATTAATTAGAAATGGTAAGAACAAAACAAATAAGGCATACACCGCTGATTTCTTTGTTTCAGGGGCATTTGTGCTGGGACATGTTCAAGACGACACTAAGAAAACAAAATGATCTTTAACCCAGTTATACATGTAAGATTCAAAAATGCCTCAGGCAAGGAAAATGGGCAAAGTCTCTTAGGACAAAATAATTTTATTTTATTTTTTTTTTGTCTTTGGACAAAAGATTCTGTCCAGGGACAACGTGCCCCTAAGCTGGGATGGTGGTGTATTTTTGCATTTGCAAGAATGTATAACCCTCCCTTTTTCCCATTTAGCCATATGGGAATTGTTGCATTATGTGGAGTGATACTGCAAGATCTTCGGGAGAATAAAATGTAGCAGAGAGGCCAGAGAGGGACCACGCTGAATCCAGATCCCAGCTGAGGAGTTTCAGGCGAGGTGACTAGAGCAGGAAGAAGAAAATTCACTTTTCCCCTCATCATTAGAAAGCATCCTTTGGACACAATCGTAGGTGCCACCCTACTGGATTCTGGAACTATGAATTCTCCCTCATGCCCTGTTCCTTCTATGGAGATTAAAAGCCAAAAGAGGTAAATGAGTCTGGACTTTTCACAAGAAAAGATGGAGATGGTGGCATTTTCCCAATCCATGTCTGACCACAGTGGGGCGCCGTCAATAAGCAGGTCAGTCCTCCTGCCTTAGCCAACAAGCAGACACAAGATGGCTTAGAGGCTGCACTGGGGTACATGTGGTGTCTCTTCTAGAAGAGAATTCTGATGACTTCTCTAGTCCTTCCTACTTGGGCGGAGACAATAAAGAGAAAAAATGAAAGAGGAATTAGCATCTCAGAAATGAACTAAAACTTCTAGCTTGCCCAGAGATGACAAGCTAAGATTTCTGCAAGGTTTCAGGCTCACTGATGATGTCCTCATATAGGACTCTACAACCTTCTTGCCTCCAAAACCCACCAGCTATAATGGTTTGTTTCATTGTCTTGGGACAAGCATGTGCAGGGACAGTACCGTGGTGCTAAGCAGCATTCCAAGCATTTAACGCATTTCACACCGTTTAATCCTGACGATGGCAGGTGCAGTCGCTACCCTGGCTTAGAAGCTCCCTGTCCCAAATGAAGCTCATGTCTCTTGTGACAGGTCCTGGTGGCATAACATCCAGGCTGCTGCAAGGGACGAGCCCAGGCACAAGAGTCGCAGCACGCAGGAATCCATGGCGTCCAACCACAGCACTAACAGTCTATTCATAGTCCTGCAAATCTAGACAATTTTACAAGCCAGAGGTCATTCTTATCACGCACAGCCTTCGGGTTTTCACTCGAGTGTCAGCTTCTCACTGAGGCTCACTGTGGCTGCCTTGTTTACACCTGGACTCCTCTCACCCCCTGCAATCGGTTGTCTACTGCCCTATGTTTTTTCTGTAACATTCGTCACTTTCTAACATGCCATAAAATTCACCTTTTGTGCTTTGTTTTCTGCCTCCCCCCCACTAGCATGTTAGTTCCATGAGGACCAGGACTTTGTCAATGTGTCCATTTCCCTAGCATCTACACACAGGGGACAGTAAATGTGTGTTAAATGAATGTTGTTAAATCCATCTAAAATTTTGTGTTCAATATCCTTTTGATGTTTGTGGATGGAAAGAAAGAAGGAAGGGAGGGAAGGAGGAAGGAAGGAAGGAGATAGGAAGGAAGAAGGTAAAGAGGGAAGAGTTCTTCTGGTATGGGTCTCAAATACGAGAAACTTCAGCTTCATAATGCAGGAACCTAATGCAATTTTTCTTTTCTGTCAGATCAAAGAACCAGGAAGCTCCTGGAAGCAGGAGATGTCGGGTTCAGACAAGCCACCCTCAGTGAGCGGATCATACCTCTTTGGTGTGGGTGGTAGAGCGAGACATCTCAGTGCTTTCCGTTTCGACCCCTTTCCGGATCCCACTGAACCACTTCTTAGAGGCTCGTGTTACATCCAGAGCACGGTTTGGAGAAAGGACCCTCAATGGGAGACTGAAGATCCAAAAGACACCACGCCCTGCTCTCTACGACTCCCTCATTAGTTGTCTGTTTAATCGTGGTCATGCTCATGTGGGTTCATTTTGTTTAAACTCAGATTCCTAGGTCGTAGAAAAGGACACTGAACAGATGGAAGCGAAGGCACACGGCACACCCGAGCAGCGCCTAAACCCTCTTTGCAAACTCAAGACAGCCCCAGAGTAAAAGGCCAGGGAAGGGTGAGAATGAGAACAACCATCCACTAAGACGCTGGGGCTAGGATGATGGGCAATGACATAAGGAGCCTTACCTGGCGATTCAGGAGACAGTGGACCACAAAGAGCAGCACCCCCTGCAGGACGTTGACGATGGTGAATAAGTAGTCGATGACCAAGCCAACCGTCTTCCCTACTTCTTTAACCATGAAAAAACCAAGGCCCCAGGAACATCCCAGCACAAACAGCTGAGCGACGGCTTTAAACGTCATGACTCTGGGGGAAAGGAGTAATAATGACTACTGCTTGTCAGGTACTCACCACACGTTCAGTTCACACCACTGCTGACTCAACGCCCTGCGTGCACTGCCTCACTAAACCTCACGACAGCCTCGTGCAGTTGCGTGACCGATACAAGGTCACCCAGCTTGAGGCTACGGTAGAACTCATGCTGCCAATCACTGCGGATCCCTGAGAATAACGCCGTCTTCCCCACCTCTCGGAAATGATTTGGTCTGTCTGCAAAGTCTTCCACCTGGACTTACTGGGAGATTTGTGGGAGATGCTTCCAGAAATTTGTATTGGAAATAGTCGGATGATGACGGTGATGTCCTGACTTCAGAACATAGCGCAGTGTTGGGTTTCTTGAAACAAAAGTTGTGTTTGGTGTGACGGAGTGGGGTTGTCGATGGCAGCTGGCAGGGAGAGCTGGTGTGTGTGAGGGTGCGAGTGCGTGTGCGTGTCCGTGTGTGTGTATTTGCTTGTGCGTGTGCACTCATGCACACACGTGTAGGAGGACTGGGGAAACAGCAAGAAAAGCGACACTCTGATGTCACTTCCAGGATTGAGGAAACTGAGGCCAAGAGAGGTTAAGTTGGTCTGATAAGTAGATGAGACCAAAGCCAGGGTCTGAAATTGGGCAGATATTCCTTTAAGTTTTATCCACTTTATGACTCACCAATGCAAGACACTGACCCACTCGTGGGGACGGTGAGCAGTGAGCTCATATTAATATTATCACTGGGGATGCTAGTAGCATCCACCACATAGGTCGGAGTTAGAAGCTTTCCGTGAAATGATATTGATAAATGCCCTGTATCTACCGAGTTCCTACCTAATATTAGTTATTGTCATCATTATTTTCAATACTTTAGATTGATATTAATGGGAATTGAGTTTCAACAACCAAGGAGAACAGAGTCCAGAGGTGGAGAGACTCTTGGGGGGAAAAGGATAATGTCGATTTTGGCATTGATGTCATACGGAGAGTGCGTCATACAAAGGAGACACTTGATAAATGTTTCTCAAATAAAGAAATAAAGGAGCATGTTGAGTTATCTGAAAATCGTAGTTTTTACTTCTTCTAGAAGTTGTCCCTCACATACCGTTTATGGAGTGCAAGGAAAATTTATATCATAGGTTTTTATATCATGGTTTTTTTTATCTTTCCCAGGAAGAATAGTTAGATAGGAATAATCTGTGGGTACTGCAGATTCTGGAACCTTCTTACCTGGTGTCCTGAATGGTGGAAACTTCTTTATTGAGGGAGGAAAGTTTGCTTCTCAAAATCCACAGAATTTGGAAGTAGAACACCAGGTTTATCTGCGGAAACGTCATAGAAATAACTTTGAATTTTCTTTTCAGGCCATTTCACCCAATCCAACTTGAGGTGGACCTAAGAATCTTTTCCCAATTGGTACAGGTTCCATGAGGATGGTATGGACATATGCTCTGGTCTACAGACGACACAGGTATATACCCTGTAGCACTTGGCACTTGGTTTGAGTGACTATAGAATTTGTTATTCAAACCAGGACATTTTGAAAGTGGAAGGGTCCTATTAACGTCTATCCAGGCAACAGATAAAATAAGGAAGTTCCTGGCAACCAGGTAAACACCTGTCACCTGTGCAGAGAGGACACTCACCAAATATCTGTTGAATGAACGAATGTGAGGTTTTGAACGGAATCCCCAGCAGATGGTTATATTATTAATATATCAGAGCAACTAGTGAGTTAGAGGGAATGCAGAGAAAGACAAGTGAAGACAGCATTTTCAGGAAGAGAGGTCGATCCTTATCAAAGGGGCTGTATTTCCTTATCTTTATCTCATTTCTGCTTTAAAGATGAGAAACACATTTCACTATGCTTGGCCAACCCAGGGCAGGCACACCCATAAATAACTATCACCTACCAAGATAATGACTCCCACCGGCCCCAGGAAGCTCCAAATGAACCCTTTGTCAAGCTTGAGCCAGCAGCTGTTGAGAGAAAGAGACGCATTAGCTGCTTGGGTACGGCTCCCGGAGCAAGACCTGAACAGTGCCAGGAGCCATTTGGTTCAGAATCAGAATTTCAGGTGGAGTCGGGTGACTGGGTCATCGTCTGACACAAGCTGTATCCTCTGAGCCTCGATTTCCCAAAGTGTGGAGTGGGGCTCATGGAAGTCCTGGAGAGATTAAACGACACCGTAGCTATACACCAAGTCCTGAAGTCAGGTAATGTCAGTCCTCCGACTTTGTTGTTCTCCTTTGATGTTGTGTTAGCTATTCTGGATCTTTTGCCTCCTTTCTATAAATTTTAGAATCACCAAGTCAATATCCACACCATCGTTTTCTGGGATTTTGATTGGGAATGTGTTGCATCTATAGATCAAGTTGGAAAGAAGTGACATCTTGACACTATGGAATCTTTCTATTCATAAACGTGAGATATCACCCCAATTTATTTTGACTCCTTGATTTATTTTCTCACCAGAATGTTGTAATTTCCCTCGCATAGAACTTGTAGGAAAGATTAAATAAGATAATGTGTGTGAAGTTTTGGGGTAGAGTTCCTGGCAAAGAGTTAAAGCTCGATAAATGTCGTTTTCATGGTGATAATGATTGCTAAAATGAGGAGAATAAAAATAATAATTTAACTACAACCACAAAGACAAGCAACACTAAATAAGCACCTTCTGTGTCCCAAGCATTCTGTTGCCCAAATACTTTGTCTCCTGTTCTGACTTACGTTGGCAACGATAGTGTAACTTATTCTGAAAGGGAACCTGGCCGTGTGAATCTGGCAAAAGGAACAAGGAATGGCCAACACTCAATGGGCAGGAAAAACTCCCACCTGAGTTCTGTTCCAAGGGTTGCAAACCATGACCTATGGGCCAGATCTAGTCCACTGTTTGTTTTTGTAAATAAAGTTTTATTGAAACACAGTCATACTCATTCACGTACTATAAACGCTGCTTTCATCTGACAAGGTCAATGCTGAGTTGTTGCAACAGAGACCGTGTGGCCTGCAAAGCCAAACATGTTGACCATGTGGCCTTTTATAGAAAAAGTCTGGCAACCTCCAATCTCCCCTGCCCTTCCGTCTCCAGAATCGTTCTGGTGGGACGTAGGGTTCTAGCTGGAAATTTGCCATCTCTTTGACTACAAGAGGGACAGCACCATACCTGATGCTTTCGTGCACCCACAACCTACCTCCTAACCCACGTGCCATGGCCCACATAGCAACTTCTTCAACTAACTGCTGTGCAGAGCTGTAGTGCGGCAGTAACACATGGCTGTGAAGAGTACTGTCTCGTGAATTCCGACTTACTCTCCCCTTAGCTCTGACCTTGGGAAAGTTTATGAAATGAATGAAGCTTCTGATGTCCTGTGCATAAGACAAAAAACTGTCAATCTTGTAGGATCATGGAGAGGATGACATGAGCTCCTGAGTCCAGGAAGCGCTAGCTTTGATACATCATGGGCCTTTGATAGTTGTTAATATTGTAATTCTTTCATATTGGAGATTAAACTCAACCCATGCCATACTCTAAAACCTGCAGCCCGCGGGTTCTTATCGTGGGGCCATGGATTTGCGCTACGTGTCCTGAACTAACTGAAGGTGCATTCAAACCTTTGTGTGTATGTATATTTTCCCAGAGACGGGGTCTGGCTTTCACTGAAATTCCCAAAGGGATCTAACCCCAAAGATGCTGAGAAACATTATGCTACGGATTTCCAAGAGAAAATAGAATTCGGGCTTAAGGAAGGGCTGATTTGAAGTATAATTCACAATTGTGAGGGTCGGTGGCTCACACCTGTAATCCTAGCACTCTGGGAGGCTGAGGCAGGAGGATTGCTTGAGCCCAGGGGTTTGAAGTTACACTGAGCTGTGATCACGCCACTGCACTCTACCCAGGGTAATGGAGCTAGATCCTGTCTCAAAAAAAAAAAAAAAATCCCTATTGGAAGACAGATTAAAAAAACATTTTGATTTCAAATCACACAGGGGCCATGGACACCACTTCCACCACAAACACACACATTATGCTTACTGAGTATATGTTCCATAATTTTTGTGTCCAGCTATTGCAGACACAGCGACAATAACAGCCGGGATCCCATAGCCTACGGGGTACATGAACCTCTTCTTGAATCGTCCTGAGCTGGTGTAGTTAGCCACCTTGAGGTTCCTGACGGTGAGGAAGAGGTGCAGCCCTTCGAGGAACATCCAGGTGAAGGCGGCCAGGTAGAGGTAGTGCAGCAGCCCTGCAATGACAGAGCAGAGCCCCTGGAGGGGGAGAGAAGAGTGAGGGGCGTGCAGCAGGTGCGATCTGTACCTGAGTGTAGCCTCAGCTCTTAGCATTTCCTGGATGCTGCCTGGAATTTCCCTTTGAGCACCTGGGCCATTTTGCTAGGGGGCAACCCATTTTCTGGGGACTTCTGCTGGCCACTGAAGTCTGCTTATCTCATGCATGGAGCAAGCCAGAAAGTCAAGGAGTAGCTGTCCTGGGAACAGCTCCCTAAATGCATAACAGACAACACTTGGTAGGTAAATACTCTATTGCCTAAGCCCTTCAGGTGGACAAGTTCTAAGACATGTGCTCTATGCTGCCCCCTGGAGCTCCTCAGTGGGATTACGTCCCAGTTGCCCTCAGTGGAAATTTCCTTTAAAACACTTCTTAACAAAATGTGGTATATGTATACCATGGAATACGACTCATCCACGAAGAAGGATGACTTAATGCCTTTTGCAACAATTTGGTTGGAACTGGAGACCATTGTCCCAAGGGAAGTATCTAAAGCAGAGGTCCCCAACCTTTTTGGCACCAGGGGCCAGTTTCATGAAAGACAATCTTTCCACGGACCCAGGTCGTGGAAAGGCTTGTGCAGTGATGTGAGCGCTGGGGAGCGACTGTAAATACAGATAAAGCTTCACTCGCTCGCCCGCCGCTCACCTCCTGCTGTGCAGCCCCGTTCCTAACAGGCCACAGACCGGTGCTGGTCTGGCCCAGGGGTTGGGGAACCACAGATTTAAAGAACGGAAAAGCAAACACCACATGTACTCACTATTAAATTGGAAATAACTGACAAGCACACATGTGCATATAGGGAAGTAAATCTCAAAGGAAAAAATCAAGCAGTGGGGAAGAGGGTAGAGGGGTTGGGTGAAAACCTGCCTAACGGGTACAATGAACACCGACTCGAGCATTACAAAAGCGATCCATGTAACCAAAAACATATGTACCTCCATAACACTTTGAAATGAAAAAACACTTCTGTTTAATGACTGTTTTTACTTCTCTGTCGTTTTTCCCCCTCTCAGATCACAAATAAGCAACTTGCACTCACTTGCTGCGGGATCTGGTTGGGGAACAGAATGCTAATGAGCACATGGGAGGAAACATCCGCCATTCACTGGAGCTGCCTCAACACAAATAAATGCATTTTTAGGGCCATCTGATATCACTTTTCTTAGGTGAAAATACCAGGATCACATGCCATAAATGGAATAACTACACAAATAAATACTAAGAAATTAAATTTTTGACTGGTTTTTTTTTTTTGCTTTTGATCTATTATAGAAACATCTCAAGTACTACACATTTCTAAACTATCTAAGCCAACACACACATACACACACACACACACACACACACACACAATTATTTAATCAGAAAGGAAATGCTACCATCCAAGGTTAACTGGGTTCTGATGTTTCTTCCAAAGCAAAATGTTTTAAACTTAGCGACCCAAATACCTCTAGATCTTATTTAATGACTAAAGTATCTTTTTTCAGCTTTATTGATGTATGATTAACAAATTTAAAAATTGTATATATTGAAAGCGTACAATGTGGTGTTTTAACACACATAAACCTTCAGCAAAGGATTGCTACAATCAAGCTAATTAACATACCCACACTCATATAGTTAACACTTTTTTGTGTATGGTGGGAACACATAAGGTCTACTCTTTTAGCAAATTCTAAGTATACAAGACATTATTATTTCTAAATTTTATTTTCTATTAGGTACAATTGACAAAAATTCTATGTAGCTACCATGTATAATAGGATTTTATATATATGCATATGTATACACACACATTGTGGAATAATTATATCCAGCTAATTAACATATGCATCACCTCACATACTTATTTTTTATAATGAGAACATTTAAAATCTACTCTCTTCGCAATTTTTAAATAGGCCACACATTGGTATTAACTATACCCACCACGCTGCACGTTAGATATCTAGATCTCATCAAGAGTAACTTGTGATACAATCTACTAACTTGTACATTTCCAATGACCTCCTGTTGAAGTATGAACAGTATTCTATATTATATTGATGTTGGCAACTATCAGAAACACTTGTATTTTTTTTCCAGTTTGCCTTTACACTTCTGCAAGTGAAAACATTCTGAAAATATACGTCCTAGTGGGGTTTCATCGTCTTGGAAATTACAGAGGCTTAGGTTTTTTGCCCGATATAAAGAGAAAACCCAGTTTGGTTTATGTACACCAGAAGAGATTAAAAAGCTCGATTGACTACATCATTCTCTCTTTGTTACGGGCTGAAGTGTGTTCTTCCAAGTCCAAGGGCTGCAGTTCTAATCCTCAGCACCACATCGTGGGACTGTACTTGGAGACAGAGCCTTTAAAGAGGTGATTCAGGTAAAACGAGGTCATTGGGGTGGGCTTTGCTCCAACCTGACTCATGTCCACATAAGAAGAGGCGGTTAGGACACAGACACACACAGAGAGTCGACCGTGTGAAGGCACAGGGAGAAGACAGACGTCTACAAGCCAAGGAGGGAGACTCCAGAAGAAACTAACCCTGCAGACACCTAGGTCTCAGGCTTGCACCCTCCGAAACCGTGAGAAAATAAATTTCTGTTGTTTAAGTCACCCAGTCTGTGGTACTTGTCATGGCAGCCCTAGTAAATGAATATACTTTTCTAGAAGTTGTGCTTTATGATCTCTCACAATTCTCCAGACGCGTTCACAGATACAAAGTTCTCTATTCCACATGGGTAACAAAACGTCCATAACTAGTCATGATAAAGTAACAGGAACTGCATTGACCCTCCCACCTTGAACAACGAAACGTTGAATACAATACATGAGATTGTGAGTTTGAGATATTGGACAGTAGGCAGTGCACACAGTGATTCCTAAAAGGAGGGACACAGGTGAGGTGACTCCCTGAAGCCTGCTGCTCACTTCCAAAGAGGGTTCCCAGGTCACAGCCCAGGAAGGAGAAACCCCCAAATAAGCCCCAGCAGTCTTGCTGAATTGAGGAAACAGGAATTCAGAGTTTCAGGAGACTGTGATGGGTTGAACTGCGTTTTCCTTCCCCAAATTCATACATCGAAGTGTTATCGCCCCATATCTCAGAATGAGACCTTGTTTGAAAAAAAAAAAAGGCTTGTAGATGTAATTATTAATACTTAAGATAAGGTCACACTGCACTAGGGTTGGCCCCTCAGCTGACATTACTCAGGTCTTTATAGAAAAGGCAAACACACACACAAAAAAAGCATCACGTGAAGATAAGGCAGAGATGGTGGTGATGCTTCTGCAAGCCCAGGAATGGCAAAGATGGCCAGAAACCACCAGAAGCTGGAGGAGGGGCATGGAACAGGTTCTCCTGTGCAGCCCTGAGTAAGAACCAACCCTGTCAACACATATTTTTTGACGTCTGGTCTGCAGAACTGTGAGACAATACGTTTCTGGTGGTTAAGCCACTGAGTTTATGGTACTTTGTTACGACAACTCTAGACAACCAATACAAGTTAGCTAGAATTTATGAGGCAAAATACCACAGAGTAGGGAGCTACAGAGGGTGTAGGAGAGAAGGGAAGGAGGAGATTGGCAGAGGGTTTCCCTTGAATCTTTGACTGAATCTTTATCAGTACCCGCTTGTAAGGAAACCAACCAAGACTAGGGAGAGGCCCCCAGAAAGGAGTGCCTTCCTCTCAGAAAAAAAAGTGCTTTCATAACTTTCTAGCTGTGTGATTATACTGCTTTAGAGTTAAAAGGAGCCTTGGAGAAAATCTAGTTCCAATTCTTCCTGAATATTATGATGGCCATGATCTCCATAAAGGTAAAAGCTAGTATTGTTGTCTGAGCAATGAATCCACATTCTTCTATTTAAATATCTTTTATCTTTT